TGTCGATGTAAATGCAAACCCAATGAGAGCCCGGTTCATCTATTGTGTCTGTGTTAACAATCAGACCAATAGGAAAGTCTACACACGCAGGTAACTGGTCTCTGGCAAACACACCCCCAAACTGCGGTACATTTTTAAACTTGCGCACAATCTCGTCTGACCACATTATCGATAGTCCATGAATGCGTTTCTATCTTCCGAAATAGACAACTGATTATCAAACTCGCAATATATAAGGGCAGTTATAGTAGAAGCCAATGCCTCTTTGAAATGTATTTCAAATCTCATCACGCCCTCCCGCGGTATGTTTACATAGCCTGCAGAATTATATCCTTGAGATAAATCCTGACTCAAATTGAATGCAAACACAGTGTAACCTTTCTTAAACTTATCCAAAGTTATAAGCGTTCGAGCTTCATTATCAAATTGTTCAGACACTCTGAGTAATTCTAAATACTCTCTGACAGATTTATCGTTCTCAATGTCCGGAGTGAACGCTTTGCGGGGAAATTGTTCTCCATTTATGAAACAAGCAAGTGAATCAATTTTAAAGTGTTGTAAATTAAATGGGTTTTTGGAAAGTGAACCACTGTAGGCGTCATTAGTAGTGAACGCAATGTATACACGTCGAGGTATGATACCGTTGATTACATTTTCAATGTTGCGACTGGTGGAGCCACTATCAATAGTGTAAGATCTAACTTCAGCGCGGTTTAATATATACTTAACAGGACTAACGCTAAGTGCTTGGAGTTGTGCCATGAGCACCTCTTCCGACACGCGGAATTTGACCAAATTTAAACAGATGTCGTCATAATGAATTGTAGGCAAAAGTTTAGGGTCAGATGACATAAAATAAAAGTTTGGTCTATTAGGTATTAAGCGTATTTTAAGCTTCGTACCACCAATCAGAGCTCGGTGTTGCATAAACATATCCATATGAAGCTTACCTTCAATTTCGCATAAACGCCCGGTGTCAGCCGGATCACCTGTTTTATGATTAATATAAGGTTGTCGTTTAGCTTGTGGAGAATCAGGGTTTGCGCTTAAGTCATCGTCATCGAATAGAGTTGCTTGTAGGTATGTGTTGCGGCTGTGCGGAGTGGAACCAAGAATTGTTTCAAAATACGCTCTATACGGATATGTTTGGAGAGATGCTGTTGTTTGTGGATCGCCAATTGATAAATCTATTTGACTCCAAAGTGAGTGTAAAAAGTTATTAACCAAAGATATTTTAGTCCAATCGGTAGCAGTAACTGCGGTTCCATCAGTCTTAGCCAATTTTACACGAAAACGTACCGTGAGTGTAGTGTCCTTTAATTTCAAATACTCATTGATTGCGTTATTAACAATGAACTCAATATGACCGCCAGAATTCAATTGCGCAATTGGGCGTACTTCTTCCGGATACGTTGACTCAATTGATGTCTGAACGGCTGCTTTTGAGTAAAAATCCAGCTCAGGAATAGCTGTAACTGGAGAATCCTCGTTAACTAGACGCTGATAACTCATTTCTAACTAAATATGGAGGGAAATATTTTTTTCGCAGTCTTTCTTCTTCTTCTTCGCCCACCACCTCGTAAATGTTTAACTGTTGCTCGACCTCTGCCTTTTATTCCAATTTTCTTTCTGCCGACACGCCGTCTTCCCCTCCCCTTAATTCTTCGCCTACGACCTTTACCTGTTTGCGCGAAATTCATTGCTCTGTCGCCAACGTCAGCGGCTATCTGTTGAGCTTCTTTTTTGCCGCGCGCTTTTAAAGACTTTATGAAATTTTCTCCACCAATCGCATCACTCGCGGCACTAGCACCCGTTTTCAATATTTTTGGACCAATATATTTCAATAGAGGTAATATTGCGTTTTTAAATACATTACCAAAAAAACCTTGACCGCGTTGAAATCTGGCCCCTTGAAACCCACCAATTCCACTTCCGGCCTGATTAACGTAATAATTGATATAAGGATTGGATGACATTTTGAACTTTTTTTCTAAATTCTAACGTTAATGTAGTTCGACCAAAAGCAAAATTTATCGTCTTATCGGTATCGTCTTTGATGTCAATTTCTATTCGGTTAACCTCATGCGAGACTAAAGGATAATATTGCGGCTGCGAATAATTAATTTCACAATTATCGCCAAAATTTTTATCGTTCGGAACTTCAACTCTTCTAATAAGCGGTGCTTCGTAGTTACCAACTAAAACTGGTTTGATTAGATCGCAATAGTAGTACAGTGAATTTATAGGTCCATTTAGATTGACTTGTTTGAATCCTTCAATAAAATATTTTTTATCAGGTTCGAGTAAACTGCGTTTACTAACATTATGAAGCTGACCGATAATATCTTTATCAATTGTTGACGTGAACGAGCTTACTGGTCCTCGCCGATCTTGAGGAGGTAACGGCCTCTTTTTAGGTTTTTTAGGTTTTGCATTAGACTTTCCCTCAGTGATCGTTGTTGGTGTTGTTATTGTAGATGTAACTGTTGTCGTTGTTGTAACACCAGTTGTTGCTGTTGTTGTTATTGTTGATTGTACTTGTTTATCAGCTATTACATCTTTCTTATCAGGAATTATTGGATTCTTATTCTGTTCGCTCGCAATTCTGTCAGCCCCTCCTGTATTGTCATGGATTAGTTGACGCTGTTGGCCATCCGTTTCTCCAGCAGTCTGCTGACTCTCTACTCCTACAACGGTTTCGTCTTTATTTACTTGATGACCATCTGCTACTCCTCCGTTTTGTTGATCACCTTCACTTACAAGTTTCTGTTCGTTATGATTTTTAACGCCAGACACGTTTGAGTTCTGCTGTTGCTGTTGACCACTTGAGCCATCAGGATTCTGCGCCTGTTGTTGTTGTCGACTCTCTGAGTCTGAAATATTCTGTTGCTGTTGCCCTTGTTCTACTGTTTTGTTTAGTTCATCCTGGGAAATATCACTGCTCTGTTCTTGTTGGCCGGAATTTGGGTCTATCTCATCCCCGGTACTGTCAGGTGCTTTTTGGATAATTGGTTTGACTACAGGAACAACTTGAATATTAGTTTCAGAATATAAATCAGTATTTGCATCAACACTATACTCGTTATGTTCTAAATGTTTGGGATTCCCTCCGCCCGGGTATTGACGACCCTGACTATCAAGTAAACCAAGGTAGTTGGCTAAATAGTCTGAAAATTGTGGGTACACCTTCTTTCCATTCACGGCCGCACCCAAGCGTATTTTGATTCTATTCGTGTTTTTATTATAATAAAGTCGCGGCGGGAAACGAACGCCGATGCGTTCCCGATGAAAAGTTACGAAATCATGCATTAATTCATTAATTGCAGTTACGATATCGTTGGCCGATGCGTAATAACCGGCCAAAAACTCTGTATCAAGAGGAATGGGGACGGCTGTGTCTTCATATTCTTCGACTAATGAGATTTGCTGATTTTCCGGAATGTTATACCAACTTTTAGTATATGAAGTGTCAGTCAGTCCTACTTCCCAATCTTCGGTAAGATAAATAGTTCTGTTAAGATGAGTCACAAAATTACCAATTTTATTATCGGTTTCATCCGGACTTGTCGGTATTATATTATTGGTCAAGTGAATAAAGAAATTTTCAGTTTCCATTTTAAGTTGAAATAAAATTAGATAAGTCAATGCAATTAAACACGGTAATAAACACAAATATAATTTATTTCTTCGTATCACTATTAGCCACTGGCTTAAGTGTAGGGTTTGGTAGCACATAGCCAATTGACCATGACAGAAGCCCTGTCCATAAATTTGTATCGCCATTTTGGTTCATTATATTGTATATACTCATGCTTACAACAATTACAATTATAATCATTTGAAACAAAAATAGAATAAAATTTGATGACGTAAACGCGCAGTCGTTTGTAATGAAATTGCTTATAGATTTCTGACGTGGTCCAACGGGATCCATTGGTTGAAACTTGCTGGGTAACCCTTCCATTTCACAAGTACTTGCTTTTGACCGTCTCGGGTCCTATGTTCCAATACTCTTTCTACTAAATACAAAGTATTATTGTCCACAATTACTTTCTGCAATTCTTCTGGATAGAATCTTCTATTCAACTTCTCACCATCAATTTGAATTGAATACTGAGGCCGTGATAATTTATCGTACACTTTATCTACTTTGAACACCATATCTGTCCACAACGGGTAATATGATTTATCAAACGCGCTTAAATCGTATTGTCGGCGCACGCTATCGCCAGACTTTAGCCTCTTTTTTGGGGGTTTTCGGAGAATATGTCTCAAATTAGGCATTTTGTATAGATTTTCAAATACCACGTGTTCATTATCAATGGTTACATCGTTTGGTGACATGCCAATACTTCGGTGTATTGAATTATTATACGAGTCCACAATATCGTCCAGTACGTTCACATACTTGCGCGTACCTCGAAGCGTAAAGTAGCGGAATAATTTTGATTTGAGTGTCCGATTGAATCGCTCAACAATTGCGCACTTAATGTTCTTGTTTTGTGTTGTAAAGTATGTAATTTGATTAAGTTTACAAAAGTTAACAAAAAACTTGTTATCAAACTCACCACCTTTGTCCGATCGAATCTTTGTAGGCTTCACTGTTTTCAAAATGCGTTTGAATTCGTTGAGTATCTCAATGCCTTGTTTGGTTCGCAACGGACGTACGCGAGCATACTTTGAGAAGCAATCAATGATTGCCAGGATATAATTGTGGCCATTATTTTGCCTGCTATATTGCCGCAAATCAATTAAGTCACACTCCCATTGTTCGTTAATATATGAAACGTATATTTTATTTCGCAAATAATTTCGTCTAATTGGTTTATGTAAGGTATAAACATTTTGTCTGGAAAGCCATAAGTTTACATATTTTTTAGTTATATTATTATTAATTAATTTAGCATAAGAATATAGTTTATGAACCCCACCTAAAGACGCGGGGTGTTTAGGATTATAATATATATCAGACAATATAGTGTCCATAGTATAAAGACAAATTAAATATCGTCGGTGTCGTCGTCCGAGTCGTTGAACGGTATGTTCCACGGGTCGGTGATAGATAATTTATGCGGTATCGCGTCAGCATCGGTCCGGACTTCAGTCGATTTGCGCTTAGTCGGCGGATGCGGTGACAACGGGGACGGCGGGAGTGGGATGTCTGCAATGTTCGATGGCATGGATAAGTGCGGTTCGTAAGCGGGAGCTGTGATCTGGTCCATTGGATACGGAGGTGGAGGCGGAGGTAATGGTGGTGATGGTGGTGATGGTGGTGCAGGCGGTGGCGGCGGTGGAGGCAACGGCAGCTCTCCGTTCAATAGTTCCAAGAGTTGGGCCTTTACCATTTCGTTAACTATAAAACTAGGATCAATTTTTGCCAAGTGCATGAGGCGTATAAGTTCAGGCATTCCCTGAACATTACGCACGTTTGTTTGTGTTATTGTCAACAATTTAGCCAAATTACTATTCTCGTTATACGTACCATCTTCACGCAAGACATTTAGTTCATCATTGAAACCATTAATTTTTGCAAGTTTCAAAACGATTTTAATTATACGAGTTTGTCGGTCCAATGGATTAACGCGTCTCTTCCGCACTGTACTCCCAACCGGCACATCGTTAACTATGGGCTGTTGGGGCGGCGGCGGTAGATTTTCTTCCATATCATATGGGTAAACGGCCATCGGTATTGGGTCTGACATACTTACTTACAAGGCTTTCGATAATAGTGTCGGTAATACACCAGCTAATGCGCTTAATACAATAGGTAGGAATCCACCACTTTGCAGTATGAGTTGTTTGCGTTTCTTGATGCTCTTCCGATTTTTGCAATCACAAAGATTTTCCAATGTTTTCCTGTGTGGTTGTAATAGCTTTTTTTGTTTCGGATTTAATGGGATCACTCCAGAAAGTGTGTTATGTGCGAGCTCTTGCAACGCATTATATACTGTCTTTTCAGCGCCCAAATCCTTGAGTATACGCCTGCGCGAACCAGTCGGTTTTTTTGTTGCATACCGGAGGAAGGGCAACGAGCGCTTAAGGCTATTTGATATAATTTTTGACCTCGTTTTCATGATATCTTATAGTATATGGGACAGAAGCTATGGCTTTTTGCTAATTCGTCGCTTAATTCTTCGCGAAATATTCTCGTCTTGAACATAAACTCTTCTGGCGATGTCGGATGCCTGTCAATTATTAAATACCCAAATGGTTTTTGAGTTGCGTGTTTGAATATTTGTAATGTTTGCTTTATGGGAATTGGTATATTTAAATGTCGTAATTCACCGCCATTGCTAGCGCCTCTCATCATTATAATATAATGAAAATTCTTTTTGATAGTGCGCATATGTTTATTATCATTATGTAAATTTTGAACAACAAACATAACACTAATCCCCATATGATGAGATCGTTTAGTAAACAGGTCTCTTACATTATCCGTGATGTTGTCCATCAAATCGTCCAATACTATTAGATCCGGTTTGTGTTTTTTAATGTCATCAATTGATGGTACACCTTTATTAAATACAATAGATATGTTATTAAATTTATCATTGAATAAACTCTCAGATTCTGAATAGCACCATAAAACACGTAATGTATGTTTATTAATGGCAATCAAATTTGTCCAATTATTTAGAACACGTTTGATAAGTACTGTTTTGCCGCTACTTGTCATTCCAGACACTATACAAGTAAACGGGTGTTTGAATTTAAACTCTTCAATACACATAATTAAATAATTGAATACACATGTGCAATTGAATATATAAGTTTTATTAAGTATTCTTTATATATAAAGATTAAATACATAATAAAAGTAAATATTAAATATATATGATTATATAATAGTAATAATAATATTGATTATATAATAATAATTATATATAGATTAAAAATCTCCTTTTTCCATCAATCCTGGCGACCTTGAAATGAAGTCCATGTATTCCAGCCAATTCAATATTATGCCGCGAACTTTATTAACCTTTGGAGGTTTGAACGTTGTTTTAGTAATCACGGCGTGAAACGGTTGCGAGAACTTGCTAATTGATATATTATAGTCCTCCGTGTCTAATGTAAATGCCTTATCGCTGTAATTGTCGTGAGCTAATACTGAATACATTGTCGAAAACTCATTTGATGTGAATGAGAGTTTATTTCTTGTTTTTAATAAATCAAAATAGCCAAATTTTTTTGCATCAACTTTTCGTTTCATACATATTTCGATTACAAGATCATTAGTCACGTTATATTTATATAATGTTACGGAAGGAATGTAGTTCTTATTATTATTGATATTACCCAATTCAAATGCATACTGAATAAATGGGTAATCGGCGTCCTCCTCGTCTATATCTTGAGGCATAATTGTTGTCGTCGTCGGCGGTGAAAGTGTAGTGGGTGTCCCAGTTGTCGTTGAAGACATATATTGGGGTTTGCATATTACGTGTGCGAACCAAACGCAAAATAGAAAACTAAACGCTTTCATTATTAATATTATCACGCAAAATATATTCTAACACAACCTTTTACTTGATCGCGACAAAGTACGCAACTTGTGAAGGAAGGGGCACAGAATGAGCAGCACACAGTATGACCGCAAGGCAAGAATGAGACTGAAATTTCTTCGTCAAGGCATATTATACATTCTTTGCTCTTGTCATAACTATGTCTGGTAACAGGTTTATGCTCTAACTGGGCTTTTAATTCGTCAACAGATGTAAAGTCACGCCCATCTTTTGTAAACTTATTCATGAGTGCGTCGCGGATTTTGGCGGCTGAATAAGTATTGTTGAGTTGTTTAACAATATCTGTTTGAAAGCCGTGGAGAATGAAATGTCTCATTAAAAATTCGAATTTACATTCTTGCCGGCGAACTGTATCTGAATTGAGTTGCACATAATGACAATTTTTAGACCATTTATTATGCTCTATCCAGGGATCGTCATCTAATTCCCAATTACACAATCCAAAGCCGCAATGAAAGCACGCTACTCGATCGCTACTTTGGATAGAAAAAAAGCCAGCTTTGGCCATTTCACTTTTATGGATCGGTATTTTAGTCCATATTTCGCCAACAAAGCTCTTAAGTCGTGTTGATCTTGATGAAAAGGAGTGGTATAAAGGTCTTGATGAACGGTATATTTTGAATTTATTTTTCAACTCGTAATCAACAGTAAATATCTCAGTTATATCAGAAGGCATTTTGAACGAAACTAAACAGTTGTATTAATTTGCAACTGCTTATATATAGTTATATAATTTATGCTATGAAAAGACGGCGCATGTCATGTAGAGGCGCTCTACATGTGGGACACGAGTTCATTTGTGTTGCACAGCTTGAGCACACAACAAAATGGCCGCATTTATATATAACATCGATTTGGTTGATAAGACATACTTTGCATTGATGTGATTCATTTTCGGTAGGGGTAGCGGTATGTGTGATAATACGGGGAATATTGCCCACATCTTTGCCGGAGATAAGTTGACAATCTCTTGAAAAGATTGCATGCATTGAAAGAACATCTTCTTCCATTGTGATGTGTGTTATATTACTTATAACTACACGGCAAAAAGCGCACTGAATAACTGAATTGTATAGCGTATAGAAAAACCCATTTCTCGCCAACATGTCGCTAATCTCGGGGTACGGAAAGTCCGATGCGGTTGGTGGGAATGTATACGTATGTACGTTAAATGTTTTTAAACGGTTTTCTTCTGATTTCAAGTATAGAAAAAATACTTCAATGTTAAACACACGGTCCGATCTTAACAGCTTCGGAATGTAGACCGGAGAGAAAATTGTTGTCAAAACATAACTCTTCAGTGTCGGCGCAGCGTTAAGGTACGGTGTGTTTAGTGAATAGTGTCGCAATACTTTGTTTCTGTTTGCATCGCTGAGCCGTCTGTTGAATGTTTCAATGTTTGAAAAGTTGGTAAATCCTTGACATTTAGGCGAGAATTCAGTCCGAGGCTTATCGTCACCAATGCTTACATCTCGTCCTTGTATGAAAGCGCAAAACGGCGATGTTTTTCTGTGATGTTCGTGTATGTCTTTCCAATCTTTGAATCTTACGATTAGCATACACGAGAAACATACAAACGATTGTATGTTATTATCTGCATAGAAGCCGAGCGCTGCGATTTCATACTTTTTTCTCACTGATAAACCAATCATTGTATGCTTTCGCAGTGAGAGATGGCGAAACAACTCGTGGCGCAAATAATAGTTCCCCATTGCATATGTTTGTGAATCCATATGTAACACTAATATTTATATCCGAACGGATGGGTTGTGTAGTCACCGTTGAGCATGCGCTTATCGTAAACCAATTGGAATTGTTTATTAATATAATCAGTTTTGATTTCGTTAAATTCGTTGATTACAAATTTCATTTGTGGGACATTAATAATTGACTTGTTATCAGTAATGTATCTATCAATAATGTCCTTCATTGATTGGAAATTGATTTTTAAATTAGTTTCAAAGTTAAGCGTTAACCCTTTAACTTTAATGACGTAATCATACTTGTTGGATTGTGGATAGAATATTTCGTAACTATAGTTTTTAGGTCCACATGATAAAAATTTTGTAATGTATGCGCCAGGTTCGCTATCGGCACTTAACTCATTCGTTAACTCTCCAAGAAATTGGCCTGTTTTAGGTACGTATTTGTCATCAGGTGTCGCCACAAATATTACTGAATCTGTATCGTAATATAAACACCGTTTACCTAACTTATTGATTAGCTCGAATAAATGTAATCGGGCATAACTCGTAACATATGACGCAATAATGACGTTTGAACTGGCTGATTCGGTATGAAATTCATTTTTTTTGTTATACTTTACTTGTAACATTTCATCGCCTATTAAATATGCGTCTTCGACCGTTATTGTATCGTCGCTTAACAGTTTGAAAAATTTTTCTGGATGTGTAATAAATTCAACTTTAGGCATTTCCATAGAGTTTTGTCCAAACTTTCCCCAAAAACTATTCACGGCTAACTTGAATGTATTCCGCTTACCGGGATTGTTTTCAATTTTGTCAATATCCAATTGTATTCCTTCCCGTTCGTAATATTGGCTAACGTACGCTTGTTTTTCATCCGGCGATCGTACGTTTTGAGGCCAGCCACTGCCTTCGATTTTGCCTATAATACAATCATTGATAAAGTTTGAAAACATTCCGTCGCTAGTGTCGGATAATTGCATTGTATGTTTGAAATGCCAGATTTCAAATATTTTAACAATCTTATACCCAAACTCTAACGATTTCTTAAGTTCTGGTGTTGTCCATACTCCTTGCAAGCATCGGTCGTTGTTGTCGTGATAGCATGAATACTTATTATCAACGGCGCACTGATAGCATAACGTGAATATTAATTTATTTTTAATTCTCATCGGAAGAACAGGGAAATATAGATCTCGCGGCGGCAAAACAACACAATAAACTAATCCCTCATACGTGTCAATACATGTCGTTTCCACCGAGTGGATGCGTACCGGGTGACCGAGCGGGAATTTTGCTGTCTTGCACACGAACGGGTACAGACTGGTGAAGTCGTAATAATAAATTTTCTCGTCGCCCTCCACATGATGGTATAATTTACTCGCGTTGACCCGGCCCCCGTAAAACGCCTGGCGCGGCAAGAGTGGCGGATTGTATCTATGCTGTTTATAATTTCGTAAATGATTAACAAAAAACAAATCAATTGTTGTTGATGTTTGTCTTAAGCTTTTCAGCTGACATTCCCAAATTGATATAAATTTAAATTTAGATTTCAAAAATGTTTCTTTTTGTATGGTTTTTGCATACAATTCGTCCATCGTTTTTCCTGATATAGGATTTAGAGTGCTATATCTATTACTTCGGTAACACTGTGGGCATCCATGAAATAAACAGCCGTAAAATTCAAACACTTCACCCGTTTGCGGAATGAAGCCGTCCGCTACATATGAGTATACTCTGTATTCGCGTAAGATTTCATTCTGTCGATCACGTTGAATAAAGTCTAGCCATGCGTTCGCAATATACGATTGATTACGGTTGTGTTCGTAACCATTGTTAGGCACAATTGCAATCTGGTTAGGCTTTAAATAATTTGTGCGAAATACTTCCATAACACTTTGGGGTAAAGTAATGCATCGCGTAAAGCAATCAATTCCAAAACATTTTGTCCACATGTCTCGAAATGTCATTATAGCTTTCATTAGAACAGTCACGTCATTCTTACAATATTTGATTAATTCTGCTTGAAAATCAAATTTGCTATTTTTATTCATATTATACCATTTAATAAACTCATAGCGCTCGTTTGGCTTTTTAAGGTTTATTTGGTAATGATTTATATGCGGCAAAGTGTCCAACACTTTATACCAGTTATCAGGTGTGTTAAACAAGTGTGGAAAATCTCCTTTCTGGCAATCAGTGATACCGAATGTTTTGGGTAAATGTTTTAATGCCATCGGTATAAAGGATATTGAGTCGATAAAATTATAATTTTTAAATCTTAAGCTTATAATTTTGTTTCCTTTTTTAATAACTATTGGTTTGACGTTATTATTAAGAAAGTACTTGATAATGAATTGCGAGTCATATGATTTGCTATTATGGGCAATTACTTTAACTTTTATATCTTCTTTCATTTTAGTAACTTTCTTGAGTTGTTTCAATTGTGACCCTAATTCTGTGAAAAGATATTTCAAAAAATCCTCAACACATTGAAGCCCAACAAATTCAAGAGACTCGCCACGACAGAATGGACAATACTTTATTACTTTATCTCTAAGCTTTTGATCCCAACAGTAATCGCATACTACTTCGATGCAGCATAAATTTGGCTGATGTATTTTATCGCCATTTTTTGTTGTTATTATGTGACACTCAAAATCATAAAATACAAATACTTTTAATTTGGTATCGTCCGATTCAATCTCATCTTTATTGTTAGGCGATATATAGCATTCATGGTACGATTGTTGTACATAGTTTTTACAATTTTTGCACTTAATTTTGCCGCAATAATGTATCTTTCCTTGGACAAGCTTTTTACAATCTTTACAATATCTATAATGTTTGCATAAATTTTTCTTTATATGATTTTCATAACATTGCTCTGAAATGAAAAATCTATTACAAGTCTCGCAATCTATTCGCTTGGTTTCAACACAACTCGAAACTGTATAGCAATATTTGCAAATTATTGCGCATTTGTGTGATAACAAATTCATATACCCTTTAAGACAAACTTTACAAAAATAGTTGCATTTCAAAAACGCTTTGATTGAAAGTAAGCAGTCGGCATGAGTGTCAATAATTAGTACATATATTTGCTTGTCGGCGTACTGGCCTGAATATATGAACTGTTTCGGAGGCGCGACAATAATCAATTGGTACTCTTTGCCTAATGCAGTTTGAAACTTTTCAAAGCAATCATACGAAAAACCAATACTGTTAACATTTAGTCCGGCGAGTTGGCATAAATCCAATGCTTTCAGTGTTTGAAGATTACCCGTATTATCGCGCATACGTCTCCAATGAATATTTCGAGCGCCATCAGCATAATATTTAGACAAAACAATTGCTCGCGCCAAACAAATCCCATCACTTTTGACCGGTATTACCTTATTCGAATTCCGTCGCCAGTTATCGATGTTTAGGTACGACAATTCTCTCTTACCTCCAATCAACGGGCGTTCAACGGCAAATACATTTACTTCCAACAGTCCATTCAAAAGAAACTCTCGCTTACTCTGAGACACTTTAATTATCTCGTTCATAAGCACATCGACATTAAAGTGTTGTTTTTCACGAAACGGTACAAATATTTCACGCTCCAAGTCCTCGTTCCGTACCGATATTCTCACCATATCAGTGTCTTTGAATTCACCCAAAATTAACTCCAAGACATTGGTTAAAACAGATTTTATTTCATCAATAATAGTTAATAAGTCTACATTTTCTCTATCTGTATCATAATATAAATGAACAGTAATACTTTTACTATAAGCTTTAAACTTTCGACTATAAGTCTTAGTTTCGCTAACTATATCGCTATGTATAAAAGGATCCATGTTATACAATTATATGGTTATACAATAATAAGAGTAAATTAAAACTAAATTGTGATTAAATAGGTAATAAAATTAAAGGCGGAGCCAATTAAGGGGCGGTGAACGATTGAATTGTGATATCCGATGATATCTCCAAGTAGGTGAACAACTTGTCCAATGTATTCGCCATCCCTTCCTTTATGTCCAAATACACGCAAAGCTTGTTAAAAAGCATGATTGAGTTCTTTTTCAAATCGGGTATAACCACTTGTATCTGCAAAACGCGGTCCGCCTCGACAACGTTCATCAGATTCATTAGTTTTATGAATCGGCCTTTGAAGTCCAAATCAAGTGAAGTGTACGCCAATACCTCCGCCAACAACTCGTATTTCTTTTCAAAGTTTTTGAAATAATCAGTGCAAATACATTTTATACTGCCTTTATTATTGCACGGTGGACACAGTGCTTTAATCTTCGCTTGAACCTCGCGTCCCAACACCGACACGTATAAGTCCTGTACCATCTCTTGGAGTTGGGCGCCTTTCAGATTTTGATGCTTCAGAAGAAAGTCCAACATTATTTCATGATTGGCCAAATGCGCCACATCCTCATCGTTAAGCACTACTCCGTAACTCTTGTCGTTTTCAATGGACACAATTGAAAATTTACCATCAACAATCATACCAGTCATGGTTTTTTTGCCGGTTAATATACTCTTATCCAGTCCGCTTTTTAAAAACTGGATCAGCCATTGAAACTCCGAGTGCGAAAAGCTTATGCCAATACTATTGGTAGTGCCGCCAATAATAACGCGTATTTCCAATCGATTAATACGATAAGGAGTTCTGATATTATCTCTAGTGTTATAGAATACACCTTGTATTATATTAGCTTTTTTCTCGCATAGTTTATCATTAATGCATTTGGTTGTCAATGGGATCTCGTAAAGTGTTTTCCAGTCCATGATTAAACAATGAATGATAAAAGACGATAAACTTCGCTGAATTTATATTGTTTATATTAGAGGCGGAGTCTAATAATTGGAGTCATGCGCTTGAAGATCATAGATTTGTGCCGGCGCAAAGATATTTGTAAGACATAAGGCCAGCATACTATGAGCAA